AATCAACTGCCGCGATGACTCCCTCGTAGAGGATCGTGGTATATGGACAACCATGAAGAAAAAGAAGCGATGTATCGTTGTGGCACAGGGCTTCTACGAGTGGCTCAAGAAGAGCGGGAGCAAGGACAAGATACCACACTTTACAAAGCGCAAGGATGGCCAGCTCATGTGCTTCGCTGGCTTGTGGGATTGCGTTCAGTTTGAGGGCTCCAGTGAGAAGCTCTTCACCTACACAATTATAACTACCGAGTCCAACCAGCAGCTCCGCTTCCTACACGACCGCATGCCCGTCATCTTCGAAAACGGGTCCGACGCAATCCGTACTTGGCTCGACCCAACACGCACCGAATGGAGCAAAGATTTACAATACCTCTTGCAGCCATTCCAAGGCGATCTCGAGTGCTACCCAGTCAGCAAGGACGTTGGCAAGGTCGGCAACAACTCGCCCTCGTTCCTCGTGCCAATCAATAGCACCGATAACAAGAACAACATTGCAAACTTCTTTGGCAACCAACGAGCAGTCGCCAAGGTCGATCATGACGTGAATGAGAAACGTGAGACAACGGACCGCGTGGAAGGCACCGAAGATAACGCCCCGTTACCTGTACCAGTGACAGCACGCTCCGCGGCGGGTCATGAGTCGCAAGGCATCAAGCGAGAGCACAACAGCGAAGGTGACAGCAGTAGCACAGCAGAGCAAGAGCCCTCGAGTAAACACGTCAAGTCCGAACCATTAGCGTCTTTGACAAAGAGCCCTGTCAAGCCAGCAACCACGCCTGCAAAGAAGCGCGGCACCAGGAGCGCCACCAGCAACGGCAGCGCGGCCAAGATAGCCAAATCTGACGGTTCGCAGAAGATTACGGCCTTTTTTACCAGCAAGTGAGACTGGCTTCCACGAGTCGTAAGGTTTGGCGGTGAAGCGCAAGTCGCCGTGAGGCTCATCTCACGCTATATCATGCTCAGTATAGCCTGGGGCAATGCCGTCAGCAAAGGTACGCCCACGCGGAGAAAAGGCGCCTGGGCTTGAGCGTGAGAGACGACTAGAAGCGCAACCCTGACATGCCCGCGGGAACACCCACCAACAGCGTATGTAGATCAGCCCGGTTGGGTAATTAGCCAGTGCTGCTGCTGCCATCCATCCGGTGCCCCGCACTAGGGGCGGGGGGGAGTGAGCAGCCACCTAGCGGCCTTTAGATGCGGAAAACACCAACACGCCTCGCTGTTTCGAGTCACCCCCCAACGCCCTGTCCGGCCCATCGCTCCTGTAGCGCACCTCTCTAATGTAGCCATCCCTGCAGCCGTCCGATTACGAATTTGCCCAAATTTGGACCGCTTCCGCCTTCTAGACTTTTTCTTTGCCGATCCTACGTAGTCCACCTTTGCATTTCCATCCCATATCATGCCATGTCATCTAGCACGCCCTTTCGGCACCCATTGTTCCTAATACTCATCGACCTCTGATCGCATCTGAGTCCTCATACCCGTCAAGGCATTGGCGCTAGAATTGTAGCTAAAATTGTAGCTGCCTAGCGCTTGGCTCAACTCTAACACTTCGCCTTGCTGCCACCATGGCCTCCAAGATGGCCGACCTCATGGACCTGGTGTCCCAGAACCAGCCCAAGTTCCAGACCCATCAAGCACTTCTTGCCATTGGCCTACAAAACGACTTTGTCCTGCCGGACGGCCGCCTTCCGGTAAACACCTCGACCGGCTTTCTCGACCGCATCCAAACTCTGGTACCCAAGTTTCGCGAACTTAGCGGCAACGTCATATGGGTCCAGACGCTCTATGAGACAGACCGTATCGCCACTGGCGCAGATACAGGCGAGGGGGACGCGCTTGTTGTGGGTGGACTGATCGACGGTGATGAGAGCGGCCCGGAGGCTGGCGATGATGACTTGGCAAAAGAGGTGGACTCGTTACCTGCGCAGTCAAAGTCATCAAAGCACAAGCAACGCGCCCTCGACTTGCTAAAGCGCGTATCAGCGCGAAGAAAGACGCTGCCAAAAGAGATTGCAAAGGCTTCAGTCGAAGAGGATGACGAGCTGTTCTTGTTGAAGAGCGAAAAGCGGACGCCGGCATGCGTGCCCAAGACACCCGGTGCCGAGTTTATCGACTTTGTTACTCAACAAATGGAGCTACCGGCAGATGCGGTAATTCGGACCACCAATTACTCTGCCTTTCAAGGTACGAACCTGCTGATTACACTGCGCGCAAGGCTTGTTACAGAACTCTTCATATGCGGGTGTATCACAAATGTCTCTGTATTGGCGACTGTCATTGATGCAGCTCGACATGGGATCAAGATTTGCGTCATTGAAGACTGCCTGGGCTTTCGTAAGCAAACCAGGCATGAGATGGCATTGAAGCGCATGGACGACTTTTTCGATGCATACCTAGTAAATAGCGAGGAAATTCTTGAAAAAGACCCAGCAGAACTACCACAGAAGCCGGAACTGTCTTCCAACGGCGCAAACAGTGATGCAAAACAGAACGAGAAGATGGTCGAGGATTTGTTAGCCAAATTGTCTTTGGGCGAAAATGGTAAGGCGTTGTTGGAGAAGGAATTGCGGCCAGATGAGAAGCTGGCCGCTGAGCAAAACAAACAGCCTACTGACCAGGAGTTTTCTGACATGCTGGTCAAAGGTGCAACGGTGCCCGGTGCGCAAGAAGAGAAGCCGAAATTGGTCAAAACCAAGATAAGGATGAGGTCTGGGAAAACGAAGAAGAAGAAAAAGAAGGGTAAAGAAGGAGAGCAAAACGATGACAGTGCAGATGTCACTGCCGAGCCCAGCGCGCCTACAACCTCAGATAAAGTTGATTCGACCCCAATCATGGACGGCGCGACTTCAAAATCTACTGGAACCCCAGCAGATGCTCAACGCACCTCGCAGATTACTAAAGCAGGAAGTGCCGCGGACTTGCGCGTAAAGGAAGCCAGGCAGCATGTGTTGAAGAATGCGGCCTCTGTGCCACTTCTTTCGGCCAAATGTGAAGAAAAGGACAAGAATAGACTATCAGGGTTTTCGGATCGAGTGCGCATGTCGCTTTCCAGAGGACCCAAATCAGAGCCTGGACCTGAAGCGAAACGAGGTTCAGCTCCTTCTTCAAAGGCAGCTTCGACGATTTCGAAACAAGATGATAAGGAAATCCAGCAGAGCCTTGCGGAGAGCGGAAAGTCAGCTTCCATGTCACAATCAGAGTCGCCTGCCGTTGAGCCGATACAAAATAAAATAGCGCCAGTAACACTTGCAACAACGCCTGTTGAAGAAACAGCAAAGGTTCCCACTAAGAGTAAATCTCCAAAGCTAAAGTCACTCGCCAACTTGCCTGTTCTTGGACCCGGAGATGAAATTGCAGAAGGCGACTCAAGGATTATACACGACTTCTTTCCAAGCGATCTCCGTCACCCCTCGGATCCATCTCAGCCACTGAAAGACATTATATTTGGACAGCTCTACAACGAAGTACGATGGCAGAAAATGCTACATCAACAGGGCGAAGTACCACGTCTTGTATGCTGCCAAGGTGCATTTGGAGATGACGGATCCATGCCCGTTTACCGTCATCCAGCAGATCAGACTCTTCCGCTCTTGCGTTTCTCGCCAAAGGTGCAAATAATACGGAGGCAAGCCGAAAAACTTGTAGAACACCCACTGAATCATGTCTTGATCCAGCTCTATCGATCGGGTAACGATTTCATATCTGAACACTCGGACAAGACTCTCGACATTGTCAAAGGCTCTTCTATTGTCAACGTGAGCTTTGGGTCGCAACGCACCATGCGCATTCGGAGGAAGAAACCGCAATCGAAGAAAGATGAAACTTTGGTGGAAGACAGCGCCGTTGCCCAGCGCGAGACCCAGCGTGTACCTCTACCACACAACTCCATGTTTGTTCTGGGACTCGAGTCAAACAAGAAATGGCTTCACGCTATCCAGCCGGACAAGCGCCTGGCTTCCGAACGCAGTGAGGCGGAAACGAGCCACAATGGCATACGCATCAGCCTAACGTTTCGCAACATTGGCACCTTTCTCGACGCAAAGGAAAGCACAATATGGGGCCAAGGTGCAACAGCCCGAGAGCAACGCGATGCAGCAGACGTGATCAACGGCGATGAAGAGGAAGCCAAACGAGTCATCACAGCATTCAGCCGCGAAAACCACGACCCAGATTTTGACTGGGACGAGTGGTACGGCGATGGCTTCGACACTCTCCATCTTCAAACCCCACCAAAAGACACTCCCCTCCTCTTCGCCTCCAACAACCCCATCGAAACTCGCCAAGCCCAAATCGCCCTCGCAGAATGCAAAATTCACTATTCCCTTCTCGAAGCACCGGCAACAGAGGAAACGTACGAACAGGACCGCCAGGTTACGTTTCGCGATGCAGACACACATCATACGGAAATTCATACCCCTTTTTCCATTTTACTTTACTTAGATCGCTACCATCCTATCGACATCTCGCCTTCGTCCCACCCTGTCATCGCATCCGCATATCCGGTTATGCTTATCACTGCCGATGTCACAAAAACATGGCTTTCCCGTGCCAATTCACCGGCAGAAATGGTATCCGAGTTCGACGCGACTCTTTCTTCTCTACTCCAACGATTAGAGGATGGATTCGAAATGCATGCCGGGCCGTATATAGCCGGGGTTAGGTTTAGTGTTGCGGATTGCTTGGCTTGGCCTGTTATTGATGCGTTGGTGGACGAGTGGAATGGGTGGAGTGCGGAGAAGTTTGGGAGTTTGGATGCGTGGTATAGGGCTTGTTGGAAGAAGAAGGCGTGTGTCAAGAAGGTCAAAGAGAAGTTGAGTGCGTAGGATGGTGTACATGATAATCTTTTGGATCAAGTTCGCTGAAGGGGAAATGGTGCGGAGAAGTATGGGTAGTGTGTTGACGATGTACTGATTTACTTCTTCCCTATTATTTCCTAATGAGTCGAGTTTATCCCTCTCACAACAAACGAGGACGTCTATATACCTTTACCAAGCATCCTACTCGTTGACCCTCTTCCCCCCAATGACTCCCATTCCCCTCAAAAACCCCCCAACCATCATTACCGCTACCACACTGACCGCGAAACCAAACCACACCATACCCCTTATCCCCTCTTTCAATGCCTCATCTCCCGGCGCCAGCACCACTCCCTTCTCCCTGCCTTCAATTTCCATCTCCACCGCCGTCGCAATAACACCCCCAACCACCCGCCCAACCATCCCCACGCCTGTGATCAGTCCCGCTCCCAACGCTGCATCCTCCGCCCCTACCATCTTTGCCACGAAAAGTGTAAGAACGGGTCCCGCAGTGACGATGCCTGTAGCGCAAAGGAGCTTGGCCGGGAGTCCGTAGGCCCAGTAAGTCGTATGTTCTGGAAGCGGGATAGCGAGAAGGAGACAGGAGAGAGATATGCAAATGGTGCTGAAGAGGAGGATGTATAACCCTGGTATGCGGGAGAGAATGAGTGGTGTCAGCGCTGCGACGAGCAACGCGCAGATGCCTGCGGGTAGGAAATGGAAGGTGATTTGCAGAGTGGACTGGGCTTTGTATGCTGTGAGCCAGTGGAGGGAGGAGGTTAAGAAGATAGTGTATGAAGCTGTGAGGAGCGCGGATATAATGAGAACTGGTGCGAGTTGTTTTTGGGTGAGGATGAAGGGGGTGATGAAGGGAGTCTTGTTGGGTATTGTGGAGAGGCGGTAGTGCCAGTATGTGTAGCTTGCGAGGAGGAGGAAAGAGAGGACAAGGAGTGTAGGAATCCAGGGGGTGCGCCAGCCAATTTCGTTGCCGCTGGAGAGAGCGAGGACAAGGAAGATGAGAGCGAGTGTGAGAATTGCGGCGCCGATCCAGTCGATTGTGCTGGTTTTGCTGGGGGTAGAGGAAGGAGGCGGTCGCGGGATGATGGAGTAGCTTGCGGCTGTGCAGATGCCGGCAGTGATACTGAGGATCCAGTACGTCCATTGCCAGGGTAGATGCTCGCCAATGAGACTGCCGAGGGGGTTGCCAAAGATGAATCCGAGAGGTGCGCCAATGGCGAAGAAGCTGAATGCTACGTCTTTAGCTTGTCCGGGTGGAAATGTGGAAGACAGGATTCCCAGCGCAGCAGATGCCATGGCTGCGGCACTGAGACCTTGTAGTCCGCGTATAGCGTCGAAACCGCTTTCGTTCGGAACAAAGGGTAGCATTATTGATGCAGCTGTGAAGAATGATGAGCCTAGGAGAAATGTACGTCGTCGGCCATAAATGTCTGCCAGGCGGCCACTGAATATCTGTAGGGAGAATTAGGAAGAGCCTCAGAGAGAGTGCAGGAATGGCTGACAAGGAATGGTGTAAAGGTAAGATTGTAAGACAAGACAATCCAGTGCTGTCGGCTAGCAGGAATGCCCAATTCTCGTCTGATGGTGGGCAGTACGGTGACTGAATCTTGTATCGCTACTGTCTGTTCGAGATCAGTTGCTGTTACTCAAGGTAAAAATTCTCCACTTACACTCATGATAGATGCTATAGTTAGTACTGCAACCAGTGCTACACACCGAGCCTTTGACAACGGCAGATCCTCTGTCGAAGCCGTAGCATCCACAGCTACAGACTCCTCTCCACCCCCCACCTGTTGCGCAAGACTCGCTTTCTCGACATCCCTCACACTCCCAATTGTTGCTCCGTCTTTGTCATTGCTCTTCGCCATAGTCGATACTCCATACACAGGCCAGCGTGAGAACTACCAGCGCTCATCTCGGCGCCATACCCCACGGGACACCCGCGCTTTTAACACCACAGCTGCAGCCACGCTTGGGAACCCCGCAATGCGGTAATGTTGCCACTACCGCATACCATTCTCCGCTCGATTTGGAGAAGCTGACGACGCGTGTAGATGACCCTGCACAGAAACAGCGGCATCGAGGACCCGGGTGCATTAGGATGCAGATACGGAAAAAGAAATACCATAGTTTGCGATTGGTCGTTTGACCAGGTAGTGAACGGCGCCACCTAATGATTCCTTCCGATTTGAATGATTTACAAGAGTATCTGCACACTTCATGTATTCGCGTCTGTGGCGGAAGCAGATAAAGCGGGCGTGTGACTGCATGCGTGCGTTAGTGGTATAGATGCACCAATAGTAGCGATCTTTCCGCACGCCAGTTCATGCTAACGCTACCTCAAACCATGGTCTGTGAGATCCCAGATGCGTGGCTGGGTTCCCCGATAGCCGCGGCGTATGCTGATCTTCGCGTTGGCTTTCCTTGGTTCGAACTCGCACGTGCGTCCCCAACCACTGCAGATCTGAGAGCATCAGACACATCTGGGCACCTGATTTTGTGCATGGTGCTGTAGCGATGGCCATCTTGAGCCATCTTGAGCCATCTGGGAATGGGGACGGTTCCGATAGTATTGTTCGATTATTGGACTTGGATTGGACTTGCTTTACGTATCGTACTCGGGGTCTTGCTAATAATATCAATCCCGGCGACAGTGTTTCATGCAATTGAATTTGATTCAAATTTACATCTTTCGAAGCATTTTGTACGAACGTGATATAAAGATATGAGGGACAGTGACCAGAGGTAAACCAAGAGAAGTGATACGGGGTTTTATACTCGTCTGATGCTGGAAAAGATTTTACTCATATTTTATTTTCCTGTAGCGCCCAGATGTCGTGCTGAAAAGGACATTGAAAAAGAAGACATACATAATCAATGGGGGTTTGAAGAAGACGGGGTTACAATTGGCCTATTGCTTGGTCAGTACATCGATTGCTGATAATAGTTACTTCATATTGCAAATACATCGTGACGCGGGACGGTTATCGTGAATGGATTCCAATATCAGCTGTCCGGATGAAAATTTGTATAAATTTTCTGTTGGAAGACAATACGGAAGTGTTGATCGATGTCGTTGTCCAATTCGGAGGCAACTACAGATACCAGGTGAGTGTCAAGGCACTATACCAATCTGGGCGAGAATCATGAAATTCCAGAGATTGCCTCCTTTGAAAAGGCAAGGAGAAATCTTTTGTATAGAATTGTTAGGTTTGGTGTGTAATTCTAATAGATGCTTATAACATCCTACAATGCTGACCTGGGATCTGTAACGTAATCCAAGGCTCAAAGTATGTAATTGACGCGTTCGAAGTACCACATACATAATGTTGAAAATGAGTTGATTGGATGTGATCTCATGGTCTCATTATCATCGATCTGGTCGTTGGTAAAATTGGCCGTGGTCAGCACAGAAGGAATCATTGCTTGTGTTGCAAACTATGCAGAGGCATAGTTGTCTCAGCTCCAGAACGGACCAAAGTCTTTCATCTGATCGAGTACTTGCTGTCTTGCTTCAGCTTCAGGTCCGGTGCGAGGTACACTGATTTGCATGTTAGCCTCATCTAGTACCATAATCCTAGCACATATCAAATTTGGTGTAGCCTCTTCAGCTCGAAGACGGATTGCCTGTCGAGTGCCATAAAAATGGACAAATTGGATTTTGAAAAATAACAGGTGGAGATGCAGACTGCCATGAGCAAGGGCCGGAGGGGGCTTCAACGTACTTGACCTCACGTAGTTGATCACTGGCAAGATCAAGGACATAGCCGATGATGGATACATCTTTTTGAACATACGGTGAGGCTTTGAGCGCTTGAATGTCTGACCGAAGATTGTTCTCCACTTCCCCTGGTGACCACGGGCAGCCTAGGTGATCATTGATTAGACGAACTTCAATAAAACCAAAGTAGACACATACTGGTATGCTGAACAACAATAACCATGTCAATCCTGACCGACTGAGCTATTTGATAGATACTATTAATGGCCCCTTCTATACGTCCTCCAGCCGTTCTAATAACCCGTGTAGTACTAGTGTTGAGGTTGAAGTGGCGTGCCGCATCAACCATCGGATTGGCCTCGTTGCAAGTGACTAAGGTTGTTAGATATGTATCTGAAGCTACGGTTTTGTCAAGGAACAGCGGTATGACTCACTGACGACGAGAGTTCCCGGCATAGACATGACTGGTGTCTGGATAACGGATGATCTGTGTTTCAGGCAACAATGTAGCTTGGTGCCGGCGGTATTGGGAATTCAGTGACTATATATGCTTCGATGTTGTGATGATATCAAGAGAAGGACGCGTCTCAATGTTCAGCCCGGCCGAAGTGGTTGCCGGGCGTCTTACTTGCACATCCACAGAAAGTCTTTAAAGGAATCGTTCCTATTGTGGGATGTCTCACCTTTTACTGCATCTCTGCCCTGCCCTATACCTCGATACGTTATCACTCCCCGGGTCCGGTTACATGTTGCTAACCCTTTCAGACTCCACCCATGAACAGGGATGTTTGACCATGGCGCATGGCAATTTGTGGAGAGAACAAGGTCTGAATGATCATAAAACCCAGTGAGAGTTATTGAGATCAAGTGGCTCTCTGGTGTGTTGGTAGTAAATTGCTCGATTGCGCTAGAAGCGTTAGCATAGAAGGTGGAGACTGGAGATCGGCCGATGCATTAGTGTCACAGCCGAACATGCCAATAATAACCATTCATCTTGGCGCGATTCAGTCATAGCGATGAGGTTGTTGTAGAGCGGATAACGATGGAGTTTCTTGGAGAAGGAGTAGCCTTGTCCAGTGGCGTATGTTGGCAAACTTGATTGGACTGTTTTTTCTCGGTGTACCGAGCTCGGCTCCGAGCAGTTCGGGAGAAAGATATTATATGCAAGCCACCGATCGTGCAGCTACGAATGCCATCACTGCTTCTCAAGTCGGCGTACCAAGGGACGAATTTATAATCAAGTACGCTTTTGCCTCATGTAACCTAGTCAGGTACAGTTCGGGTACGGTAAGCAAGCTCACCTATGCGTAGTACTCGACGTCACAGCCGCACCAAGTGAAGAATCGTTCCGTTAGTCTACACTTTGGGCAAGTATAGCGATCAGAAGTAGTCTAAAGATTCTCCTGTGGAGTTTCTTGGCTTTGTGGGACAGTTTGGAATCACAAGCAGCATGTCGAACGGCGGTCGGGAAAGGTGCAGCATCATCACATAGTGAGATATCGACAGCCAACTGGTTATGGTGGGGTGCATGACGAGATCTTGGCAGCGCGTTCAATGTACACTGCTTGTGTGCTTCATGACCTTGTACGAAGGCTGTGCGATGGTAGGTGAGGGTCGACTTGTGTTGGACCGAGGAACAGCCAGTAAAATGATAGATTACTGAACACAAAGTAAGATGTAACCATCATGACTGTCCTGTGCACGCAATGTGCCGCTTGTGTGCCGTCGTGCCGCTTCTGCATGATGCGGCCCACCACGCGAGAAGAGGAGCGGCATGGCCCGGGTAGTAGGCCGAGCTAGCATAACATAAGCTGAGATCTGATTAGTAACCTTGCGCTCAGAAAAAGACACAATGCCGCTTAAGAATGCGCAATTCGGCCCGGTAGTATGAAAAGGTCGCATGGTTGAGATTAGAAGACCAAAGTGGCCAAGCCATGATACGTTGTTCTTGTTGCCTACATATGAGATCTTCTTAAAATTTGAGTCCATGATAGCTGCATTCGCTAGTTACCACTCATGACACTACCTGGACATTTTTGAAAGCATCCGGACAGAAGGAGAATGCTTACTTCTTGGCCATATGCCGAAACTGGGCATTGGTTAGACTTCCAGTGGCAACTAGAGAAACACGTCAGATCCAAGCGACGCAACACTTGGCGTGGCAAGGTGAGCTGCAGGAAATGCGTCTCGTACTAGCTTGAAACCGCAAGACAGACTTTCCACGCTATACTGCACATAGGATCAAGGCTGTAAACTGCAAGTGGTCGAGTTAACGTGGCTATGGGGAATGCCAGAAGGTATAGTCCAGGTGGCTCGCGACTGAGTTGATTCTTGGCGGTCGGGTTCAATCATATAAGACAGTAACGCAAGCGCGTGCAAATTTCAAGAGCAAAAGGTAGTATCGGAACTGTGAATGAGTTTATTCATAGTGACTTGTAAGAATCTCCGCAGTCGAACAAAGCGCCCAATGTGGATTCTGATGGTTATTATGGTCCCAAATTCTCCGCATGTAGTCAAACCGCAAGGCTGGCCCTCGTGTCTTTTTCCAATGGGTCTTCACGAATGAACAAGCTGCTGTCGTTCGGTGGTACTTGTGACTCCTCCAGTACTGCTAGGATATTGTGGTGGTTGGGAGCGTTGTGAGCGTTGTGAGCGTTGACTCAGACTCCTCGACAGGGTTGGAAGTGGAATCTCCACATCGATAGTTGGGGCTCTTGACTTCGGCTGATACGGTGGTGGAGCATCGCCATTTTGATCCAGGCCCTCACTTTGGCGGCTAAGAAATGAGTTGCTGGCTTCGTAAATGCCATACATGAATCTCCGAGGTTGAGACCACGTTTGGATATCCCTTGCTGGTGGCTGCTCGCTGTCCTGCTCACAAAACTCTGTTTTATGCTTTGTACGCCGATGCAAGTACCATAGCAAGAAAGCGATCATCACAACAAGGACGCCGATGAGAAGGAAGTAGTATTTGAAGGCACTGATTTCGTGTGGCGTTTCGTCCTCGAAGACTTGCCTGGCGGCTATGACCATCTGAGGAAGCAAGGGCATTATGTTGATGGATGCCACAATAGAAGCGAAACCGGGGAATTTGTCCTTGGGTGGCTCAGAAAGGGAAGGGTGAACAAAACAACGGCAGAAGGAACAGAAACGTCCAGCAGGAGCAGAAGTATGAAAACACTGCCCTCAAGAGGGTGAGGCCAGAACAGAGAAAAGGGAAGAGGACCTGGCGAAAGGTAAGGGTCGCGCTCGTGTCTTTATTTCTGGCAACATGTTTCAGGATCATAGCTAACAGCCATTTCCTTCTGCGATAGCTGAGTGCCGAAGAAGCAAGTAGTGAGCGGCAACGCTGCTTTGGGGCCGAGGAGTAGGAGCGAAGCATAGTGGAGTGCCATTGATGCGTTGATTCATCGTAGAAAGATGTTCTTTACATTGTATGGATGAGGAATGCAGCTGAAGGCCGACTAGGAAAGGTTGGGGATGGCGTTGTGATCACTCGCAGTTGGCGTACAGTGAACACCCTTAGAATGTTAGCGCGCGGATCATTGCAGATTCCGCCAAGCAATCGCGTCAGCCGCTCCTACCTTTGATTGCTCGCACCCTGTTGTCCAGTTAGTTACTACATACACAGTCGGCCCCCCCACAGACATCCTCCACACCATCTTTGAAATGGTCAAAGCCATCAGAGGTATTGCTTCTGTCCAAGCCACGCCCCCTTTCGCTTTGCTAAACGCCCTAGGAACGCTCGTCAAGTGCGATGCTTCCATCAAAGCCATGCTGGTGGACATCGACAGCAAAAACAACAATGAATACATCATCGAGGAACTTGATGAGGAGCACATCCTTGTCAAGGAGACCAAAATTAACGAGCTCAAGGCCCGACTGAATCAGGTGCGCATCACGATGCAAGGCGACACGCATTGCTGACAACTACAGATGATGAGGGAGCGCTTAAAGGAACCAGAGAGTTCAGACTCTGAATAGAGCTTGTAGATTCGATACCTGGTCTGGCACTCGCAGCCGACTCCTAGTCCGCAATCATCCACCACTCCCGTTGCCGCTCGTCGCCGTTCGATCCGTATACCTGATTCCCGCTGCCTTTGTCCATAAACGAACGCCGGAACGCTCAAGCTATGGTTTACTTTTGAACAGCACCCTCTTGAGTGCCAACCCACTTGGGCCTGTTCTTGGTGAACAGTTCCACCTTGGTGCTGAAGTTGTCAAGGATGCTATGATCGTCTAGAGTTCCCACCTGTTCACCGCTTAGCAGGGCCGGCCAGCCATATATACACCTGGGGACATACCTTGATGATCATCTTGCCAGTATAGCTGTCACTTTCCCGCCACATGGTGGTGCCGCAATCACCGCTGCATAAAATTAGAAGCTGTATCTACAGTCTGCGCCGTTACGAACCAGAAGAAGGATGTAATGTTGCTCCCGCTATCCGCTGTCTTCTTGTGTTCCTTTGGAGTTCCCTGGAGGATCTTGAATCCATCCTTGCTGTGGAGGGCATTTGTCGAATAGGTCGTTCCGGAGATTTTACGGCAGTCATAACAATGGCAAAGGATCTGTACTTCCTTTTAGTCTCGTCTAAGCTTGTAGGAAGTACCACTTACCTGGGCCTCCATGTCGCCCTGCACCTCATAACGGACGTTGCCGCACATACATCCTCCAGTAGGCATGTTGACTGTGATGAGGGGTGAAAGTTGATGTGGATACTTTTGGGTTGAGTCAAGAGAAGGAGATGATGAACACAGGTGCCTGGACTGTTTGTCATGTATCTTGAGGTTTTTATACTGGCGTAGGGCGTCCTACCCCGCTGTCTTGATCGACGACCGGTCAGGGATCATAAGCCTCCGGTGTTGTCCACCGCTAGCTCCAGCGCTAGACAGTTACTTTCAGACCCTTCGCTTCGCTTCAATGGGTCGCCCATGTGTCGCCCATGTCCTGTGCAAGCATCAGTCACAGGGTATCCGACAGAAGCGCTTGTCAAGCTTCACTTTTTTCCAATTCTTCGCAGAGCATCATTTGGTCAGATTACCTGGTCCTGACTAAGGGCGGGGCCGAAGCGGTGCTTCCCTGCTCGTGCTCACAGCCGAGGTGTAAATCCAGGTTGTGCCGTTAGAATAGATCCACGTCTCACAGTTTGGCATGCGGAAAACACATGATTTGTGCATGGTTAGAAAATTTAGCACAGACAATCTAGAATGTGAGATGCTTGAATACTAGTAGGCCAATTACGTGACTGGAAAACAAATACAGTGTATATTTGCTATGACGTGGGATGGGCCTGGAAGTTGTGGATCGCGGGGTTTCCCCAATGCGGTTACTGCCAAACTGGAACACGTGAAGTCGAGACAATTTGGCGTTTGCATGTGCCCACTGCTTGAGCACCGACGTGCGCGTTCTGCGTAATGTCATGGACTTGTTTACTTGCACCAGCACGTTGCACAACCCTTGGTCTACCGTTTGCTCGCCATGGCGACGGGCTCACCCAATGTTTGGACACAAATGAATTATGTCCCTCCGCGCGGCCAATGTAACCACAAACCCTCTTTACTTGTGGCAAGATGTCCTTGTTTGCGCTTCATGTTGCACCCGCTCAAGGTCAGCAACCCCTACCGACCGCATAGCTAGGTTCAATTCAAGGCGCATTTTGCGTGTACTAACAAAAGTGCAGTCATCATCCTCATATGAATGCGACGGGTGTGGACATCATGCCTCGTTCCACAGTATGGAGAACAAAACAGAAGACGAGATCCGCAAGCGTTGGGAAACCGAAGCCAAGGAAAGGGCACAGCAGAATGATGAGGCACAGCAGCGACCCAAGAAGCGCGTGCGTGCCATAGAATACAACAGGGAAGACGATGAGGAGGACATAAACCAGGCCATCGCCGAGTTGTTACAGGGGGCAAAGTCAAGACCTAAGGCCAGTGCTGTATCGAAAAAGAAGCCCGGAAGGGTCGCCGGGACCAAGGCGAAACAGAAGCTGAATGAGATTTTGGACGATAATACGGTCGTAGAGCTGGATTGAAGTGTTTTGGAGGGTCACGAAAGAGCACAAGCATTGGAACGGCGTTTTGGTTGAGGTCTTGACATTGCGATTTGATACCCACACAAAGATATTTCTGCTTTTTGAAAAATTCTTGTTGAATTCATAGAAGCGAATGCACTTCTTCTGTCTATCTGAATACTTCTCACTTGTGGTTGGAGGGCATGTGGACCATCCAACCGCGGTTCACACTGTGCCAAGACCCAGCTCACACGCGCACCATCTCGTACTGCGCCCGTCCTTCTTCTACCCCACCACAATTGCTTCCAACCTTGCACCACAGCATGTTCGTTTGACATCCAATACCCTCATATAGAATTTCGGCCACATCTGGCCTAAGCGGCGTTCAGAAAGCCCTGTGCAATACGTCAGCTTTACCTGGTGTATCAACCGCATCCTAGCTATACAGTACCTACGGTTGCGGCCTGCGACCCGCTGCATTGTGCTTTCAGTCCGACTAGCTGCCCATAACTCCAGCACACATTGCAAAAATGGCGACACCCACGCCCTCGAAAGACAAGGAGACGCCTTCCAAGAACCCCAACGCCTTCTCTCCTGCACCGCGCAGCGTTCCACCTACCGGGAACATCCACATGATGTCCTACGACTCGCCCGCAGTATTGAACATGCTCAACGATGTTGCGAGCTCGGGTATGGGAGGCGTCGGCATGGGCATAAGCATGAGTGGACTAGGCATGTCTAATTTGGGCATGACGGCAAGTGCAACAGGGCGCGCAGACGAGGCAGAGAGAAGTCGGAGGCTCCGAGAGATAATAGACATTGTAGGCAAGAAGCCAGGACGCGTCAGTGAAGAGGGCCTGCTTGCGCTATGCGACCGAATAGGCATATCGTATGAAAAGCATATGGACGATGCAGGTACATGGAGTCTTTTAATTGGCGACGAGGCCCTTTGCGACGTCACTTTCAAGAACGATGAGATTGTCAGTGTGAATCTACAGACTGGGCTAGACGACTCGAGACCCGACTTGAACTTTGGAGCTGCAGGGTCGGAGATTCTGGTGCGAAGTCTGAAGCCTCTTCCAGGCCAAAGCAAGTTCAACGTGACGCTTGAGCGCTTCTCAGAAAACTTGGAGAAGCTTTTGGCACTTGACAAATTAGGCTCCTCGCAGAACGGGGGGATCAGTTGCTACAACGCGATTGCGGGCATCTATACGAGCCTTCGGAAGCTGTTTGACCATGAGAAGAAGCTCGAGCTTGCCAAACGGGCACCGGATGAGCGGTACAGGATATACAAGGCAGAGAGAGAGGTACTGTGCAAGAAGAGCGGGCGTCCTAGGTTCAACGGCGGATCATGTCTTGGACTAAGTCTGGAATACTGGATGGACTCGCGGTGGGTGATTCCGAAAACCGCGCCTGAAGTACAGGATAAGGGCAAAGAAAAGATGGACGCCAACTCGCAAGAATCCCCTTCATATCCCGAAGACGACTACTGGAGTAACAATAAGATGTACTCGCTGACTATCGAATGCGAAGCATCGCCCTCGGCTCTCTATACCCCCATCCGCATATCGAATGAATGGATCAGCGACCAGGTCGAAAAGTCGATGGATAACAATGACGCCAGCCACCTGGAAAACATGCTCATGAACACGTCTTCTATAGACTGGCTTGAACCAAAACCGACGTATCTTGAGGCGCCAGAGCAAACTGATGATGCTATGAACCTTGACTCGGCTGCAGGAAGACTACCAAATGTGCGATTTGTTGCGAAGTTTAACCCCCCGCTCGTCGTACCCTATGCTGTTCACATGCAACTCTACCAAACTGTCGGTATCGAGCCTCGCAACGATGATCTACGACCTACCACGTTTGTTGGACTTGCGCTGAGGCCTGGAGAAGTTGACCCCGGCATGTCTGGCGCAACTGGCGAGTCTACACATGAGATTCGCAGCTCGCACCTGGCGCTCTCAAAAGACATCAATGGCAACTACGAACAGCATCGTCACAACATGAGTCTCTATGTACCAAAGCTAGAGTACAGCCGTACGCTCGAGAGTCTCCCATTCAGCCATCCAAAACAACTCGTAGAAATCCTACCGGTTTTGCGACAATACGCGCACGTCACGACGCTCCTCCGCAAAAGCTTCTACGAAGCACCACAAAAGCCAATCTCAACACACAAACCGGGCCACCCCCAGGCCTCGAAACCAAAGACCGACTCATCAGAAAAGCACCCAACCCTCCAAATCGACGTAACACTAAACTACACGCCCCCAATTCCACGCATAACCCTCCAAGTCCCCCACCCTTCATCCACAGCCGCCTCCAACCCGCCAGAAACCACGGCAGACGCAATCTCGGACCTCCTCTCCAACCTCATCACCCCCAAGGACCAACCCGCAGAAGCCCACCACGCACCCTTGGCCATAACCATCGACATGCACGCAAATGGCGATGTCCTCGTCTCGGAACAAAACATTGTTAGTTCGCCAGGCCGGACGCTCAAACGCGAGGCAGAGGCGCACATGCAGCACGGGGAGGACGAAGACGGGGCGCACGAGATTGTGGCACACCAGGAGAAAGTCAAGAGGTTGGCGAGTGGATTGGATGTAGCTGGGGAATTGGGGGTTTGGGCCGAGTGGTTAAGGAGGGAGGTTGTAAGAGAAGAAGAGAGGGCTTAGGAGGCCTATGATGTTACTATGGACTGGTTTGCTGGGAAGGTGTGGGTTTGGGGGTGAGGACAACTAAGTTGCTCGGGTATGCGTAAGGGGTCATCATTATTGTTTTTGACCTGGCAAAGTAGTTATTTAGTCACAATAGAACATCACCAAATTAATCAAGAGGCTCTTCGCTCTCCAAAGTAGCTCAAATGCAGTAAGTTAAAAAAATTTCATCTTCATTAAATCATTGCATGTCATGCAACTCGAAAAAACAAAAGGTTCCCACAACAATCGTGATATACCCAATCTGTATAGATTATACCTAGGTACCACACATAACACAACTCATCATTCGACTAAAACACCAAAAGTCGATAAAATTCTAAAAGGCCAAGCCCAGCCAGACAAACCAGTCCATTTCCATGAACAAGCGCGGCAACAAGTCAAACCCAAAGTGGTCTAAAGCGCGAAATAAATTTGGGGGTATGGTGGGGGGAAAAAAAAAGAGGAGAAACCGAACATGATAACATTACAAGCTTCTTATGGCTTGTTAACCTCAATCACCATCTCCGTCTCGACAGTGTCAGCCTTCTTGGCGAACCTGGCAATATCGGCACCCTCGACCTTGCCGTACATGGTCTCGGCAATTATGCCAGTGATCTGGTATGGGTCACCGTTGGAGGCGGGACGGCGGTCCTCAAAGTATCCCTTGCCCTCGGCGGCGACGGCGCGAGGAATACGGACAGAGGAGCCACGGTTGGCGACGCCCCAGGTGAACTTGTCGTACGAGGCAGTCTCGTGCTTGCCAGTCATGCGGAGCTGGTTGTCCTGACCGTAGACGGCCATGTGCTCGGCTTGACGGGTGGAGAGCTTCTCCATGGCAGCCTCAATGGCCTTCATGCCGTTCTCACCACGGGTGTCAACGGTAGAGACGTTGGTGTGGAGACCGGCACCGTTCCAGTCACCAGGGATGGGCTTGGGCGCAAAGGTAACCTTGACACCAAACTCCTCAGCAACACGGTGGAGAAGGAAGCGTGACATCCAGAGCTGGTCACCGAGGGCAATGCCGGGGCAGGGGCCGACTTGGTACTCCCATTGGGCGGGCATAACCTCGGCATTGGTGCCAGAGATGTTGATCTCGGCGTACATGCAGGCCTTGTAGTGGGCCTCGACGATGTCACGGCAAAAGACCTTGCCAGTACCGACACCACAGTAGTAAGGACCCTGGGGGGCGGGGAAGCCGTTCTTGGGCCAGCCATATGGCCAGCCAAACTCGTCGAGGAGGGTGTACTCCTGCTCGAGACCGAACCAGAAGTCGGCCTCCTTGTGCTTCTCAAAGATTATGGCGGCATCGTGGCGGAAGTTGTACGAGTTGGGAGAGCCATCGGACATGTAAGTCTCGCACATGACGAGGACGTTGTCTCCCCGACGGAAGGGATCGGGGAAGTATGCAACCGGGCGGAGGTAGACATCGGAGTTCTCGCCGGGCGCCTGACCAGTTGACGAACCGTCAAAGTTCCATTCTGGGAGGTCGGCAAGGCTCTCGACCTTCTTCTTCAGGGTCTGCGACTGATGTCAGTATACATGGGCTTGGCCGGGTGGAGCTGCAAGGGCATGGGTGGTGAGTGGGGGGAGAGTGGAGGGGTAAGACGTCAGAAGTTGTGCAGGTCCTGCCGCGCGCAATCTGTGGCTTGTGGATGGCTTATCGTGGGGTCGCGATAAGGAACGCCGTCTGTGCCTGCTACGACAGCGATTGGCGCAGGGTACGTCACACAAGCAGAGCACCACGATCGTGACTCTGCAGCTTGTGAACCGCCCAAGTGGATCGCAACCAGTGATTCTCCCGAGGCTCAGAGCCTGCAAGCCGCACACTACTAGGCTGCATCGCGATCGCCGACTGCAACAAATGCCGCAAAACATGATCGGTTGGGGAAAATGGAAGATGTGAGAAACAAAAAAAAAGGAATGAAAGAACTGACCTTGGACTTGGAGCGGATGCCGTTGGAGCCATCTATCCAGACATACTCGGCCATGACATTGCCCTTTTGGGGGAGGTCAAGGTACTTCTGGAGCTGTTGTAGACTATTAGAACAAGCCAGAGTGACACAGGAGGCGAGCACGCCAGCAGGATTCCACGTACGTTGGCAGCATTGGAGATGATTGTAGAGTTCGCCTGTAGCATATGTGAGCAACAAGAAGATGTACAAAGGGCGCAGAGCGGAAACATACCATGACTGCGGTTTGTATGTGCGTGGTAGGAGAAAAAGACAAGATCAAACTTGAAGAGGGAGGAACAAGGCGACGATGTTGTCTAGGAGAAGAGGGGCGCCGAGGAGGGGTTATATGGTGGAAGTGGGGAGAGTGAATGGGGAGGAGAGATAAGGATAGCGGGCTGAGGGTTCAGTTATAAGGTAAGTGTCGTGGAGGGAGTTGACAGTCTCGGCATGTGGCGGGGCCAGGTGTGGTCAGATAGTAGCTAGGCTGGCCGTAGCCAAGAGCCGTCGCCGGACTGTATCCGTGGGATGAAGCAATCCGTTTCTCTAACGCGCAACCACAGGCGGCACACCCAGCGTGCTGAGCCCACGCCCGGCCGTGGAGCATCCGCTTACGCCGGGGCGCCGCCTGGCTGGGACACTTGCAGGGCCATGCCAGCCACACGCACACGCACACACACGCACACACACAATGTTGACTGCGCTCCAGGATGCACACACGCAGCGCCGTCTGGAGTGCTTGGGCATGTTTGCTGATGGGCGCGGTGTGTGTACGAGCGGGTTCGGTTTGGCGCGGCGCTCGGAACGCACAGCCTCAGGCGGTTCCGACTTTGACCGCGGCGGAGGTGGAAACCGTCGCCTCAGTGTAGCTAAATTTACCCGCTCAAAGCCAGCATGCTGGCCATGGCAGACGACCGGGGCCCAAACAAGAGCATTTGCATTGCACACACCGCTCCACTTGTGCCTTTGTTTTTGGCCGTCCGCCATCGGATCCCTCGAGGCCATCGTCGACGCCGTGTGCCCAACACGAGCAGCGCCGTCCCTGCGTGCACACGTCTCGCGACACCTGCATATGCTGCCTCTCTGCTGCTGGGCCAGGGCCCCGTTGCCTCTGCCCGGCACTGACATCGCGGGGGCGATAAGACGCCCGCCCGCCAATCGCTGGCGTTACAGTGACTGTGCTTCGTCATGCCAGCATCACGAAACCCTCTGCCGCGACGTTTCTTGTAGTCAAGTTAATCGGTTCTCGCGCCCGGCTGGCCGCGTTGTGTCCTGGGTGCTGGACGTGCACTGTTCCAGAAGCCCACTGCTTAGACTACCATGTTCGTCCCCTTCAATGGCTCGCTGCTCATTGGACCCGCCGCCCTCTCCAGGCACAGACTGAGATATTTCCACGCCAACCCCACAGATTCTCCTGCAGCCCGCTCTTTGCGATACAGTCAGAAAGGCAGCTCCACGTCGCCGTCGCCCACCCCCTCCCCCCGTGAATTGCAATGCCCAAAAGCCGAATGCGGATCCAAATCTCCCTTTGCCTCAGGCCTCTCTCCTTCACCCGCCGGCACCCCACGTGCGCCATTAACCACCACGTCCACCGCGACTATTTGCCCCGACGCAGGCAAAAAAAGCCGCATCGCCATATCGGCACCACAATCTAGTCTGCACGACGTTGGGCCTGGCGGGGTTGCGGGCGTGCCGTCGATCTGCCAAGCCCCCATGCCCCCTGGCCCGAAAGATAAGGCGAAAAATGGGTTTCCGTCTTTACGTCAGGCTATCGAGTAACGCCGCCGGCCTCGTTGAGTGACATGTGGCAGCGACACAACACCTATCGTGAACACGCCCGCATCGTGTGCAAAATCGCTCTGGCTCCTCAAAAGACTGGTATAAAAGTCGGCACCCGCCTGCCTTTGGTCTTGCATGTCAGCGACCAGTGGCGTGGCGGTGTCAGGCCCGCTTTAGGCAAAGCTGCGGGCCCTTCCATGTGCTGGAAGGGATTCCAGAAGGCTTGTGTCTTCCCCAGATTATACTTAGATAGCTGCTGATCAAGTCAAGGACCTGCCGCTGTGCGTGTATGGTTCGCAGCAACCCTTATCAGATGGGGCGCATGGTGCTGGGCAAGCGCTGGCACGTGTGGCCTTGACCGATAGGAAACCAACACCATCCGGGCATCAAGAAGAGACGTATCCGGGCATAGTATCTAGTACACAATGCCTGACATGACCACATCATGGTTTCGTCATGGCCTCGACGCCAATCCGATTCCCTCATGAGCCCATGCGCTCTTCCCACCCTGTTGTGCCTACTGCGACGCCCATCATGCATACCCAGACCCCAACTTTGCACGGCCCCTTCATTTCCGGCTCTAGGTCATGACTTGCAGCAGCACCCTCTGCCTCTGGTTGGGTGTCGAGAGCGGCTGTACCTGCAGCAGCCAACAGGCCATGCTGAATGAGAGGGTCGGGGCAAAACGGGAACGACCAAGGATACGACCGACGTTCGGGAGCCGGCTAGGCCTAGGGACCGGCGCCAGTGGCATGGTGCAGGGCAGATCTGGGGTAGACTTTGTTGGGGTGTTTGGTGTTGCTCGCAAGTGCGTCGACGTAGTCTCCATGTTCCCTTCCTCGAAGCCCTCGGCTCGAATCAATCACAGCCATCAACTGTTCCGCACCAAGTTAACAAAATATGTCGGAGTTTTTGTCTAACCAATGTGTAAGACGACCTGAAACCCTACATTTGTCTTCTGGTGTCGGGAGACGCTGGTAGTGGTCGTCTCGGCAAGGCCGGGCCAAGCCGTCCCTCGCACACAAGTCCCGCGCAACGCCGGCAGAGGTGAGACTTGTGCCAAAGAAACAATAGGCCCTGACGATTGTTTAGTTTCCACAATAGTGCCTGTTCCAAATTGTCGACACGGCACAAGTTCCGCTACCGCCGGTGCTAGTCCTAAACCCGATGGCCCAACGGGGGCAGACGGGATGGGAAGTTATTGGTGACAATGCGATTGTGAAGACACAAGCAAGCAGTATGGTGGGTCTTGGTCTTGTTCAATGGAGTCTCATACGCGCATTGTTTGCATGTTTGTTTACTGTAAGCCAGCACATATATGCCTGGAAAACGGTCAGCGATGACTCCAAGATATCCAGCAGAGAAACTAAATCCTAACCTGCTGTCGGAAGCGCCTCACCATACAGCCACACATGTGCTACGTTGAGCACGTCTACCACCGGCCGTGCCGCCACTGGGGGCGCGATCAGTTTGTTGGCGACCCGTGCTGCAGGTCTCGGTTTGCCAACGGCCATCCTATAGCCTGCACCTATGCCGAGAAGATGGGGTCGGTTAACAGCAATGAGCTTTGTCGGGACTGCAGGTACCGGCTAGCCAGTGGTGGGGCATTGCGACCGTTTGCTGGTGTTGCTGCGGTCCCGCAGGCTAGGGTTGACGAGAAGCTGTGCAGAAAGCTGGATGGAACATGACGCCGCCACTGCAAAACGTATCGAATAACGGACATGGCTTCTCTCAGCGTGAATCATGGTGCACTGCACCTCCCGCCAGACAGCTTTGGGCCTCTCTGGCTACTAAGCGCTTCGTGCTGGTGCTTCTTGAAGAAGTCAATGGGCGTGGATCCATCATCTTGATACACATTCGGCATTCCGAGGCGAGGAAGAGCAACAGGAGTGTGGAGAAGGTACCACGAACACTGAGAAGGGCAAAGATCGAGGATATATACTGGAAGAGGTTCACGTCGAATGTCACGAAGTCGTAGCAAGGTGAGGGGACAGGGCTTGGCATATGGAGTGTGGCCAATCAGAGGCTGCCATGAGGTAACAGCAACTGGATGCTCTTTCCTTTGGGGAACAGCGCGGTAGTTGGCCATCTAAAATGAGGCCGACGGTCATGGGGCTGGTCGAGTGTAGTGTTAGAGACGTGTATGCATGTTGTTGTTCAAATGCGGGGTCTGCATGGTCTTTCCTCATGCTCAGTTGTCGCCATGTTCACCGTTTGTTGTCGCGTGGTGGACATGGAACACGCTTTCGCCATTTGTCTGCACGTGACTTGGACACACGTGCTGTTCAGCACAAGTGACCCAGGACAACAACGAGCGGGAGCCGTTGGGCCTCGTGGTAGCTTTGTCTTGTTTCCTGGCTCGACCGTTGACACCAGCAAGTCAACGGGCAGTAGACAGCTCATTGTAGCGAATCCCACCGTCTGTCTTGCATTCGGCTGGTAGGCAGAGTATGGTACAGAGCGCGGCTTCGTGACGTATGGTCTGCCAAAAAGAGACAATATACTACAAACATACTTTGGGGTCAAACAATAAGGCGCCCAGCTCAGTCGTGGGCAAACGGCAGAGGAGCCGTGGCAATGGTGCCCAGCACCGGCCATTGGCACACATGTGCCAGATGTCTAGACGTGATTTGACTTGTTCGACGAGCCCCTGAGATTAGCGAATACGGCGCGATGACTCGGAGGTGTACAGGCTCCTACCAAGCCGCTGGGTCGGACGGGCTGTGTCGTCGAGGCAACCAGAGACTTGGGGCGTAGGCACGAGGTTTGCATGCGCTCACAGCCAGACATTGGCAGCGTGTGTCGGGGGGCCGAATGTGGTGGTGGACTACTGAGGCCGAGCAAAGCTGCAGGTACAGCGAAGGGTCGGAAATTTGCCGGATGGTGCGACAAGCCCACATGCACATGCGCAGCTGGATGGTACTGGGCCCTGATGCGCTGCGGCTGTACTGCGGCCGTCCCCAATCGGCCAGGCCGTCGAGGTGGGCATTGCCTGACCCGGCAGAGCGCCGACAGCCACAACATGGCCATCAAGCGTGAATGCCATATTCGTCTCCAAGGGGGAAGCAGATGTCGTAGTTGCACTAGATGCAGTAACGAGTTCGCAGGGCACGGCCGGTGCGGCTAGGCGTGGGCCATGCAGGGATGGATGCGCGAGCGTTCTCTTGTAGTAAGTAGTACGTACTAGCATACGTCCTGCCTAACAACGGTGACATGGCGCCACTGCAACATGGACGCAGCCACAGCACACGGACTCGTGCGGTTGATCATGCAACATGGCCTCGCCATTGTTGCTCGTACTCGTCTTTGTCTGCCAATGCGGCCGAGACGACGATTCAGGCGTCGGGGCTACGAGAGAGACAAAGGTGGTCGTGGTTCGGTCCCAGCGGCGCGCGGTAAAGGGCCCAGCCTAGCGAACACCACGATCGCCGTCTAGGATCCCTATCACGAGCCCGGAACAAGCCCCCCGGACTAGACGCTTTATCTGATACTGTCCAATCTCCCCCTCCCTTCCACCACCTCGTCCCCCTTCTCGTCCTGTCATCCGCCTCGCTGAGCATTGACGAGGCTTGCCTGCCGCCATGAAGCGCTGACGGGCCCTCTCTGCATCGTCATACGTCTAGTCCTGCACCCTCTGCCTAGCGTCACCCCGACACTTTTCTTGCTAGACCCGCGCCACAGCCAGGGTCGCGGCCGAAAACACCTTCCCAGCACCCTTTCCTATCCAATTGCCCGCAACCCGCATCTCTGACGACCTTTTCTTCTGTGTTTCGCAGCGACGTGCTGCAGACGCCCTCTTGCGCCATGCATAGACATACAATGTCCGAGACGGCCGCCATGCCCTCGTCGCGCTCCAGCAGAACACACAGCTTCAGCAGCGAGCGCTCTCCTTCTCTGTGCAGCTCCGTCACCTTCCAGATGCCCACCACCGTCAGACCCGCACCCGCCTACATTGCTGCATCCGTAGCTTCGCAAACCGTCACCGACCACCAGAATGCCCAGTTACGCGACGAAGATGCAGACGGCGAAGAGCTGCAAAACGCCGTCTTCTCCGAGCAGGCATTGGCCCTCCTCAATGGCTTTCTTGACCATCTGCTCTTCGCCATTCTCTCTTCCGCCAAAGCCCCGTCTCTGACAGCCATCCGGCCAGCTATACTCGATGTCCTCAAGCCGCGCCTTGCCCGCGAGACCATGGAATACGCCGACGAGGAGCTACAGGGCTTGCTGGCTGCCGAAGATGACGATGAGTCTCCTACACAAATCGCAAAGGCTAATGGCGCATGGGATGTAGAAAAGGTGTGGAAGCGCACCCGCTTGCGCATCATGGTCTATACACGCTTGGGCGAATTGGAGGATGAGGACGAGGAAAGGTATGTCCAGCAGGAGCGCGGGCTTAGCATGGACGAGGATGAGGATGATGAAGCTGGCCTGGTGTCATGGGCAGCTGCCATCTTCCTGACCTCGGTCATGGAGTTTATCGCTGAACAGCTGCTCCTTGTCTCGGGATCCGCAGCTTTTGCGCGCATGGAGTCGCGGATACAGAAGCTGTCCCAGCAGATGGAGCAACACGAAGAACAACCTACAATCGAACGTCTGACCATCGAGGAGCCTGACGTGGAGAAGATTGCACTCAATTCGGCTTTGGGAAGGCTTTGGAGGACGTGGAAGAAGCGTGTGCGATCTCCCATCATGCCCCTTACCCCCATACGGCGAATGCGCTCCACTTCAAGCTACACGAGCTTGCCCATGCGAAAGCCAAGCCGTGACACAATCAACACGGTTCATAGCGGCCACGAGCACCTGCCTGAGCACCAACCTACCGAGACAGAAATTGCAGCCAATATACCTCTTCCAATTGGCAGCAATGACATCAACGAGATTGAAGTGCCTGGATTGGCGCCTACATACGAGGACGAAGATGAAAATACGGACACTTCGCCATATTCACAAGCGCGGCGACCTTCAAGTGCCATGATTTCCTCTTCAGTCATTCCAGCTAA